ATTTAGTTGGAACCTCTTCCTTCTCCCACACTGAGCCCAGGAGTTTTGTTAACTCCAAAACCAAGGCAGAGCCTCCATCCTTAAAACCGGGTGGGGACAGTCCGTCGGGGCCGGAAGCCATATGCCGTTTGAGGTGACTTATTTCCCGGGTAACCTCCATTTCAGATGGAGGGCTGATGTCAACTGGCAGTAAGTGCATAGTTGACTTCAGGGACTCGTATGGTAGTTTAGCCGGAGCCTCAGGGAACGCCAGGTTTTTCAACAGGGAGTAGAGGTCATAGCCGCCAGCAGTAGGAAATAGAGCTGATTGATTCTGTGAACCACCTTTGCGAATACTGCACCACAGTTCGAATCGTTCGACCCATTCCTCTATCTCAGATGGGTTTGCCTGCAGGTTCAGTTGCTCAATTGTTGGAAGCTCCATCACGTGACGCCAATTTGTAATAATTGTAGTAGTAGTAGTAGTAGTATGCACGGAATTCGGAACACGAACCACGCAATAGGAATCACAGGACACGAATCAAGGATCAGCTATCAGGGACTGGATTACAAAAGCACTGGACTCCAATGGCACGAGCTCGCAATATCCCACATGAACAAGACGCGAGGAAAAGGCCACAGGAATAGTAGTACGTAGTTGGTTTATTGGAAGAAATGGAGGTGATTAAATATGTACAAAAGAAGATTATTGGTTATCTAGGCTTCCACCAGTCGGATTGCAATACTGCTTGCATATATCTGCTTCTGTCTGCACTGCTTCGGATTGGCTGGCATGATGTACCAATAACGTGTAATCAGAAGCCATGCAATCCTCCCACCGAATGGTGTGAATCGGTGATTATACCGATTTACATCAACGATGACAGATCCATTTCTGGACCTCATGGAGAAATAAGTTCCATCAACATTGCCTCTAGACTTCTCGCTGGGGTCATACTCCGTCAATTGTCTGCCACACGTGAACGGTGCACGCCTGAGAATCAGGCTGGTTTCAGACCGGGTCGAGGTTATATCGACCACATCTCTCATTTACAAGTTCCCGAGCATCGAAATTCTATTGGTAGACTAACGATCTCTATTTTTCTCGATTTGAAAGCGGTCTTTGACTCAGTCGACCGCTCTAAAATTTGGCGCTGCCTTTCCCTGAAGGGTGTGCCCGAGAAGTTTATTTCAGTATTACAATCCCTTTATACCAACGGCCGAAGTCGAGTTCAAGCTTACTTTTTTTCACCCGAGTTCACTACAGAAAGTGGTGTTCGACAGGTTGCTCTCTCTCTCCGTTTCTATTTAACTTTGTCTTAGATTTAATTTTTGAAACAGCCCTATACTCGTGCGAAAATAGCGAAATAGATTTATTCCCGGGTGGCAGACGGTTTGATCTAGAGTATGCAGACGACATTGTGCTACTAAGTGAAGAAACA